AAAAGTGGAAACCTTAATTCAGTGTGCTTTCTAAATTTGGAAACTTCCCGATTTAGAAAGTCCACTAAGATGTTTGCCTATTCTTTTCCTATTCTTATTCTCATTCATAATTCCAAATTATGAATGTTGGACCCAATCATATTAACTTCCAATCATGCAAAGATAAAACATTTTTACCTTTGACCGTTCGTTCAAAGATCTCATGTGCACGAGCAGTGTGACCCTATATGGTTCAGGTGTAAGCTAACCGTGGGCCCACAACCCTTAATGGTCAAAACTCATCCCTTAGAGTTACGATTAAGATGAAGCTAGTTTCACCTTAATCACCCAACTACGAGTCATGATTCCCTAGATACAAATGAAGTGCCTGCAACAACCTTTTGATATAGTTAGCGTACATTACGATCCATTCGATTCATATGTCCCAATTGAACTAGAGGCATATTGGTTCATCGAGACCTCCTTAGTAGTTCAATGACTGTGCGATCATTCTAAGTGTTGTAATCGTTACGTGCATGACTTAGAGAATCGAATTCTCTAATCATCACTTAGTTAGCTCTGGCCAGAGACTTAGAGATTACAAACTATGAGACCACACAGGACATCCAAGACTATTCTAGCGATCGAATCCCCGACTACAACATAGACCTCATACTAGATTTCGGACTACACGAACACTGTCCCTTGGGGTGATCCTCGGTGGAACTCAGGGACATGTCACGATACAGCTGGTCCTCTAGTGAAGTCACGGTGATGTCTAGGTCATAAGGACTAATGGTGTACCATTATACCATAGATATCTCTACTCAATTATTGAGAACCACTTAGAGATTTCTAGGGTGAGGGAGTTCAATGAACTCGTCAACTATCGAGCACCCACTTATGCATGCCGATATCACAATACCGTTTACTGATGAGATGCAGTACACATACACTACGTGTTAGTCTCTTAATGGGAAAGGCCGATATCCTCATTGATGGCGTAACCCTTCGACTAGGAACACGTTGAAGAGTTATAATACTAAAGTAAATGTCTCACGATCCTAACGATCAATTACTCGTACTTGTAATAACTGTATGGACTATATCGATGCTTGTGACAAAGGGACAAAGATATAGAATGCCAAGGTGTTTTATCATTAATACGAAAAAGGTTTATTTATTACAATAATAAATGGAAAGACCACAGCCACAAGTTCGCTTGTTGGTCACATACTCTAACAGAGGAATCAATTTGATTCCTAATACTGCTTTTGACAATGTACATGTGTTTATACTTTTCATTTTTTGAAAAGTAGATTTTGAGTTTTGACCAGACAATATTGAACAATTTCTCAATCAAGTTTTGATAAGTGTGACTAAGAGCAAACTCAACAACCTTAAGATAATAAAGCGTTAAAGATGAGTTCCAATTTAGAATGTCAAGACATTATGATCTTATCGAATTGCCATAAGGTGCGAAATTCTTTGGTTATAAATAATTGAGACCAAATGTAATTTAAATTGGCAATATTGAAAGACATATCGTACGTTTAGTCATTAATAATTTCACTCATATCTACTCCATTAAGAGATTTATGGACTCAAAGAATATGTTTCTAAAATGGTAACATTTATGGAACAATAAAGTGCAACCATAAAATCTTAGTATTTAAAGATTTGAAGGATATTGATTGCAAATTAAAGTATTTCATTAATGAAAGTAAAATTTCCGTTAATGATGTTACAGTCCTAAGCTAATTATCACATATGTGTTCTCAAATAAATATAGTTAATGATTGTACATACCCAAGGATCAGTGGGAGATAATTTCTCAATAAATGAGACTTGTTGAGTCTCATTCAATACCCAATAGATATTTTATAGTAAAATAATGCACGCATTCGGTTAAGGCATGCATAAAGTTAGGCAGATATTTGAATAACCCTCTAAAGTGGATCATTTATCAAAGTAGCCAAATGGGTTATATAGTACTTACAGGGAATGTAAGTTATATACATATGCTCATTTATCAAAATCAGATATTTTGGGAGATCGTGTGGTTTATTTCTGAATTTGAGTTTTATGACGTGTATAAACTATAGATCCATTTTGGTTAATTTAGGTCTAAATGATTGAGTTATTTCGACATGGGTGTCAATCAAACACTTTAAGCTCTTTTCATGATGGTTAAGAATTTATGGTAATTTTTGGCATCCTATTTTGGAATATAGCTATTAACCTTTGACACTATGTTGCACATTTGATTTTGTATTACAGTTATACGGTGACAATATTTAACGGCTATACTTTTGAACAACAACAAGAGCATGTGAAAGGTCTTTATTGTTCAAGGTACAGAATGAACAGTACATAGAGAATATTAAGATAAACTCCACAATTGTAAATCCGCTTACTTATGGATTAACACATAAGGTATTCATTAGCGTTGCTCATGTAGGTGTTATATCATTTAAGGATATTTTGGTTCATTGGGAGTTTGTATATATGTGTACATATAAACACATTTCGGTAGCTCTATGATATGTTTGGATACAAAGTTGTGTATTTAATTTTCTGCAGAAACAAAGTATTTGGTTGCGCTTTGTACAATTATATTAAGGTTTGGTCTCAATAAAGTTTAAAGTAGGACCAGTTGGAAATAGGCATGTTAAGATCACGTTATATGTAATTTCCATGCTACAGACCGTAATTTGATCTATGACTTTTGGCTACATTGGTGTACGTGATTACTGTTGGGTTTAGACACGATCAATGTGACGAAAGCCTCTTTAGTCCTATATTAGTATGATCAATGGATGAGATTGTAAGGAATACCTTTTTATATAATAGCAATATTTGAGCTCATAAGGTGTACACATTTATTTATAAGGTATATAGCATATGCGGCCCCAAGTGGGAGATTGTTGGAATTATTTCAATAATTATGTGGGCTCACATATGTGACGTAAATGTGTATGACTATCTAAAATAAAGTCCGAATTAATTGTGATCTAATAAATATTATTGGGTTGGACTTACGGGGATTAAACTATAATTATGGGCCTAATTTGTAGAGACAATAGAGCTTAATTGTGATTTATTGATGGGGCTGAATCACAGTTCTAATATAAGTGGACTCTACAGTTATATAAAGGGTTATGATCCCCAAAGAAACGCAATCATTCCGTCTCTTCTAAAATCCATGGTTAGAGAGATAATTAAGCAACTTCGGATTCTTTGGAAGACCTGTCCCAAATCCAGTGGAGATTCGATGATTCGATTTCATGATGTATGGTAGGCTTCCGTGTTTATGTTTATGTTTAATTCTCGTTGATTCAAGCATGTTGGTTCCTGGGAATTTGTATGTATGTACGATAAATTTTCTAACACGAACATGGTATCATTTATATAATGTCCTGTCCTGGAAAATTCCGCCATTGATTAATCCAAAATCACACAGTTTTGGATTATAATCCTGCATACGAAAAACAACAACTTAATTACTGCTTACACTCGTTTGCATTAGGATATTTTAATTCAAAAACCTTAATACAAATACGTTGTCGACCACTATATGAGCACAATCGAGGTTGCGGATTATGAAAGGTTTGTAAAACGAAACCTTTCGAGCGTGTAGAAATTTGAGGAGGGACGCAAAGCCAAGTGCGACTTTGATTCTTTGCATCAAAATGAAGCAATCTACATAAAAAAACAACTCGTGCGTATTAAAATTTATGCACAAGTTTCTATTTAGTAAATCTAATTTGAAAAATTGAAACCTTTAGGAACGAGGTTAAAAATCGAGTCCAACAGGTCGAGTTCATAAACAACACCAAGATGATCATCATCATCCTCACAATATCCATACAACTTGACCATGCCTCAATGATTATGCAGCAATTCATGGCGAAGCAACATTACTTCATCCTATGCAATTTATAAAATTCATGATTCAATCGAAAAAGAAAAGAGTATTTGAAATAAAATGGACAAAAAAGGACAAAAATTACCATTAGTCGGCGTTCGTTGTCTTCAGTCCAATGATTATATATTTTTGGGTGTTCCCATATTTTCACCGTCACATATTGTGTACACTCAGCACGCACAATCTTGCCACGATAATATTTGCCAAATTGGACATAGCTGATGTAGTTTCTCTTGTAAAAGTTATCAGTATAACAAGCCAAGTCGTCGTACCGGAGTTTTAAAACACGACTTGGCCCCATTTCTAGCAAATAATCAGCACGTAATAACTGTAAAATATGTGCAGTCCTGGTCGAACAAAACTACGGAATATATATTTTAGGATATTCCTATAAATAGAAACAAGAGTAGATATGGAATATACGAAGAAAATTCCTTGGAAAACGAATAATTATGCAACACAATATTTTCGAGCGAAACGTTTTGTGAAAACAACAATGTAAATGAACCAGTATTCGTCCCACCGAAACAACATTAACTATGGCCAATCTTTTAAACAACACCTCCATTAAACAAAAATTGGGAAAAATCTAAAACCGATCTGGCAGTAGTATTTACGAGGAGGTAATTGTTTGCCAATTTTACCAGATTAAGATATATTCCTATGGATGTAACTTTGAAAACATTCAAATACAAATACCAGAAACAAGCGTAGATATGAAAGGTATAACATAAAAATCCCACAAAAAAAGAAATTAAATGAGAAGTTTTAGAAATAACATAACCCATAGCTTCATTTATTGTCAACATCGACACAGAAATGTGATCATCCGCATCAATTTCAAATTTGTGCATATACATACTAGTATATCAATTTCAAGAACAAAAACGCAACAAAATTTGTTCATAACACAAAATTCTTAAAAAAAATACCTTCAACCGAGGAATTAGGAGTTGTCTTTGGCGAAATCTTCTCAATTGGTTTTCGATTTGAGTTCAACTCTAGAGCTCATTGCTGTAGGATGCCGAAGAAATAAGGGTTTAATTTATTTGGCACCGTGGCTTTTTTTTTTTTTTGAAACGAACACATATCATTAGGCACCAGAGGCCAAAAAAGAAGGAAGTGAAATCCCATCTGCATGTTCCATACAAGCCATTGTCGCTAAAGAATGAGCCAGGCTATTGCCTTGCCGTCTGATAAAGGAAAAAGTACAACGAGAGAAAAACGACATCATGTTTATGCAGCCTTCAATATAAGCGCCAAAAGAAGGGACAAAGTCATCTCTCAGACGCATAGGATTAATCTCTTGAAGAGAGTGTCCTTCCAAGATGATCGAGTCCCATCCTTTACTACGAGCAATACGCATCGCATACAGTGCCGCATGGGCATCTACATCCACCGGTTTTGTCTTGCCCGAAAATGAACCAATACTCCACCAACGACATACACTATCTGATCCACGTGCCACCATAGCAACTCGGTAATGATCGCTGCCACAAGGAAAGGCCACATCAAAATTGATTTTAATGGTACCACAACTAGGAAGAAGCCATGAAGAAGGGTGAGCGGGCTGCAAGTCTTGAGCATTAGGGAGGAGAGATTCGTGAAAAGATGGAGAAAAGAATTGCTCCAAATGGGAAGCTCGGCTACGGAAATCCCTTCCTCGTCGTAAATGGCTTTTGTTCCGACACTCCCAGGCCTTCCACATTACGACCAAGGCGAGGAGAAAATTGTCCTTTGATAGTTTTTGTTGGAGAAATTCGATCCATCACCATAAAGATGAAAACTCCGAGTTGTAAATAATCTCGAACGGGGGGGGGGCCTCCACAAATTAGTCATATCGGAACACGATTGGAAAACATGAATTGTGGTTTCGCAGGACAAATTGCAGCAACTGCATAAGGGAGAAGTGACCACCTTTCGACGGTAGAGTTCCACATTAGTCGGAATAATGTCCAAACAAGCTCGCCAAAGGAAGGTTCGGATCTTCGGGGTAAGGCTAATCCCCACAACCATTTCCAATTCCTAGAAGACACCCCACTACCAGAGCTCGCCTCCCCATTTCGCTTCTGCTATGTGACACCCCTCTCTCGATTACCCTTATTATATGTAATCTCAGCGGAAGACTTTTGAAAACATGATTTTTGTGGATATAAATTTACGTGAATTTTTTTCTTTTTAAATCAGAGGGAGAGAGGGCAGAGCTTGCTAAACCCTAATCGATCAATTAACACCAATGCATGCTAAATGCAAGACTAGAAAATAACTAGGCATGATGGACTTAATGCAAATGCGGACTGATTCAATGCAGAAGCTTTAAAAATTAATTCCTCTTAAACTACTCATGCAAATGACCCCAAAATAATACCATACCATATAACACGGGTCTAGATCACTCTGTTAAAACAGTTTTGAAATATGCATGGCCATTTAGGAGAAATAAATAAAATGGCACAGTCACTCGGTTTAAAATCCAGAACAGGGGAGGGAGTTTTGAAAATTCACAATAAATTCCTCACTGACCCAAAAACTACCCAATTTACCCCAAGGCAGAAAAATAAATTTAAAACATTTTCCAAGTGGAAACAAGGCATTTGGGTGAGTAAAACTCCAGTTAGACCAGAAAACCACCCGAATGGCCCTGTTTCAATGCAGTAGTGAGGAATAAATCATAACTAAATGAATACTTACCCAAATCATGCACAAGACCTATCACAATGATGAGCACAGAGAGATGCAGAGACTCCTAAAATTTCATGATTTTCTAAGCAGAGCACCTATATGAAAATAATTTTAGAACATGGAGACAAAACACGAAGAAATTACTAGTCAAAAGCATGCATGCATTTAAATGGTGAAATTTTGCTTTCGCTTACAAAAGGCTACGGATTACCGATTAATTATCCAAAATAGGGTAATCCTAATTACTATTACACACGTTGTCATTTAATAATTTCCACCGATCGGAGGAAGCGAACGGTAGAAAATACCTAAAACCGTATCAAAAGTTTTTACAAGCATATTATACAAATAAAACCACATAACTAAATTGAGAGCCAACACTATCCACAACCCCTCCATACGATCTCCTTCCGATTCTCGAGCTCGATTCCCAACTTCACTCCTCGGGCCCTAAATCAGGTATACCTACAAACATACAACACCTATATGAGTCTTTGAGGACTCAATGAGAATCTTGAAGTAATATCGAATACACATAGCACATAGAGCATACATATATCTATACATATATATACATACATATATCTTATACATGAACATACAACATGAAGTAAAACAATCATATACTTCCCTTTTTCGTCGGCGTTCTTCATTCACATAATTGCCACACGCATAGAGTGAGATAATTCCCACCTTTATAACCCTATGATCCCAAGACCATAGAGTGAGAATATCCCACCTTTATAACCCTATGCCATGACACGTATTGAAGATTATAGAAGGAATTTCCCACCTTTATATCCCTACGATCCCAAGACCATAGAGTGAGATTTTCCCCCTATATCATCAACTCCATAATGCAACATGCATGACATGAAAAATTGTCGGGAATCCCTCGGAAGAGCCAATCTAAGTTACCAGTAAATAACCCCATATATTTCGAATCATGTCTAACTACGTGTGATCAAACCACCCCAAGGCCCTACAGTACCAGACTCGCGGTACCCGAGAAATTTACCGTAACCTCGAAAGACTTTCCAACATAGTTTTATCTTATTAAAAATTCATGACACTTAATGCACCCACCCATGCACCCTTCTACTTACCCTTCTCTCATCCTCACACCCAATGATTCACATAAGCAAGCAAGAGCACATAGGAGCACATAGAAAATACACATAAAGTTTCACAAAATCATTTAGCCATAAAAAAAACATAGCAATAACCGAAATCTTAACATGCAAAAACAATCTAACATCAAAGTTCACTAGATCTAGCATTTTTACAAGAATAAAATTCAAGACTTCCATCTTTACATTTATTCAAGCAAATACACTAGATCTTCACATGCAAGAGTATTTTAAATCAAATTAGCACAAATTCTTAGTTCTTAAACCATTTTTCATAGAAAACACTAGATCTTAACATGCAAGACTTTAGATCAACCATCAATCACTAGATCTTAACATGCAAGACCTTGGATCAACAATCAATCACCAATCTTAACATGCAAGGCCTTAAAATAACAAACAACACAAGATCAACACATGAAAAACACAAAATAAACCACATAAGCAATTTTAAGCATTTTACCTCAAAAATTCGAAAGTTCCTTAGTTAAGTCAAAAATTCATTTTCTTTTCACAATTCAACAATCAAACACTAGTTAACACATGCAAGGCACTAATTAAGCCACATAAGCAATTTAAACATTTTTCCCCAAAAATCCAAAAGTTTCATGGCTAGGCCAAAAATTGATTTTCTTTTCAAAGATCAACAATCAAACACTAGATCAACACATGCAAGGTAATAATTAAACCAAATAAGCCATTTAAAACATTTTTCCCCAAATTTTCGAAAAATCATAGAACTTCAAGAACAAAGTTATCTTTTCAAAACACTAACATGCAATCATCATCTAAATCATATAATCACATAATATGCAAGAATAAACAAATAAAACACATAAAAGCACATAAAAACCGAAAATACTAGTGGTGTTGTAGGTTTGAGCAAGAATTCAAGAATTCTCACCTATACTCTTTAGGGGAAGGATTTGTTAGCTCTTTTCTCTCTAATACAAGAAGAGATTAAGAGTTAGATTAGGCATTAAGAAAATGAAAAGAAAAACAAAAGAAAGGGGAGGAGGAAGAGCTTTGCTCTTTCGGGAAAGAAGAAGAAAGAAGAGGGAGGAGAAGCTTACTCCTAAGCTTGGCCGAAAATTCTCCTCTTGTTGAAATAGAAGGAGACCTTAAACTTATAGATAGTGAGATTGGAAGTGGAGAGTGTATTTTGATCTTGGGCATTGGAGGTATATATAGAGTTTTTGGAGAGTTTAAAGCCAATGGAGAAGAAAGGGAAATACATCTTTTTGTGGGGGTGATTTTGCAATTTTCGAAAAAAATGAGGTGGTGGTGGTTCTAGGGTGGTTCAAGCTTGAGAAGGTGGTGGCTATGGTGGTGGTGGTGGCTGCCGAAAATGAAGGGGAAGGGAGGAGAAGAAGACCTTTGGTCTTACTTAAAGGAGTGAAAAGCATGCCTAGGCTATAGAGTAGGGGCTAGCTTTTAGGTATTTCTTTCTATGCTCAAAGTACTGTTAGAGTAGGTGACCGGCAAGCCAACTTGTGGCTGTGGTCTTTCTCTTTTCTTTGTAATAAAACAATCGTTTTTCGTTCGTAATAATAAAATATCTTATTTGGCATTCTATATCTGTTATCCCATTCAAGCAGCATAGATATAGTCCTAACGAGTTACTCTATTACTGTGAGTTGATCTAGTAGAATCGTGAGATAACTCAGCAATGTAATGTAACTGTTAAACCTTGTTCCTAGTCGATGGGTTACGCCAATAATGAGGATACCGGCCTTTCCCTTTTGAGACTAGCACTTAGTGTATGTGTACTGCGTCTCATCAGTCCTCGGTGTTGTGACATCGGCATACTTGAGTGGGTGCTCATACTGGATGAGTTCACTTAACTCCCTCACCCTAGAAATCTATAAGTGGTTCTCATTCATCGAGTAATAGGTTTCTAAGATATAGTTGTACACCATTAGTCCTTAAGACCCAGACATCACCGTGACTTCACTAGAGGACCGATTGTATCGTGACCTGTCCCTGAGTCCCACCGCGGACCGCTCCAAGGGCCAACGTTCGTTCAATCCGAAATCTAGTGTGAAGTCTGTGCATTGTAGTAGGGGATTCGAGCGCTTGAGTAGTCATGGATGTCCTGTGTGTTCTGACGGTTTATAATCCATGGAATCTCTGGCCAGAGTTGATAGTGGGGTGATTAGGGAAATGTGTTTCCCTAAGTCGCACACGAACGGATTTATAATACCTAGAACGTTCGCACGGTTATTGAACTTTATAAGAGGTCTCGGTGAACCAATGCCTCTAGTTCAATCGGGACATGTGCTACGAAGGGATCGTACTGTACGCTAACTATATCATAAGGTTCTTGCAGGCACTTCATTTGTATCTAGGGAATCATGATGCGTAGTTGCTAGACGCCAATCTTGATTCGTTGGGCACCGACTTGATCGGGGATTAGGTAAAATGAGTTTTACTCTAATCGGGACTCTTGGGAGGAGTTCGTATAAGAACAATGTGTTGTTCGAATCACAAAGAGTTGTGAGCCCACGGCTAGCATACACCTGAACCATTGAGGGTCACACTTCTCGTGTAATATAGATCCTTGATAACAACAAGCATAGATTAATGTGTTAATCTTTGAACAATTGGATGTCGATATGATTGAATCCAAGATTCGTAATTGTGAATTGCGAATTGGAATAAACGTAGAGAAAGAGAGACATGCGGAATTTAGTGAACTTTCTAAATTGGGAAGTTTCCCGATTTAGCAAGTCCACTAAAGTGGAAGTTTCCAATTTTGGAAATTGGAAATTTCGAAGAGGCACTCGTATCGACGAGGACTTTGAGCTCGTCACAAATATAATTTTGTTATAATTTTGTGGACGATCGTTTATTAGAAACGAGGCCGACGAGGGAATGGGCTTAATGCATCAGTGGT